GGATGGCTATGTGATGAAGGCAAGGAAGGCTCACAAGAAAACGGCCACCACTGCTGGAGAAAGCGGCCTCTAAGCCTAGAGAAAACGGCCATTATATGTAACAGAAAACTACATGTAGTTTATTTACTTTTATTCATCTCTAAATCAATATTATTGTAAGGGGCAACAACAATATTACCACCGTCTCTCACATTTTAGTTTGTCCTTCTTATATTTATCTTTAATTTGAAAGTTCCCAGATCGATGAATGATCCATGGATGTTACTGCATTCCGTCAGCAGTTTTCCTGCGGTGATTTGGTCATTCTTAAACAAAAACCAGGCAATTTCTTTTCCTCCAGCAGGACAGTGTTGAGAGGCAGCATCTTCACCTCATGGTGAAGCACGAGTCTGTAAATGTTGATGGATTGCACCCCGCACTTCTGATTCAATTGGAATTAGTTAAAACAGACCTCTTTATTCGCCTTTGATTAATTCAATTAAATCTTCTACTAATCTGCCCGTCAATATATACACTACCTTATTATCTTTTTTCTCTATTATCAACTAATCTTACTTGTCGTAACTATTACAACAACCAATCAGTGACTCTTCAAATGTCATCGAAATTAACAAAACAATCAATCAATTTTTAAAAGCTTATCCGCAATGAAGTAAATATCTATTACTTAGGAGAAATATACGCTCCTTAGATCTTGGTGCAGCTATGTTGGCCGTTTTTCTATATTGTGGAGCGAGCTAAGATTAGAGACCAGATAATAGACTATCATATGGTCTCTGCTAAGATCAAGTTTTCATAAGAATTGTGCATTTAATGATAAAAGCACCAAAATTGGTCATCATATAAAAGAACATGTCTGAAATAATTTCAGATATGGAGGCATCTTAAATTGTGTATGTTACAGCGCATGCGCAGTATATAAACTTTGACATACTATTTTCAACGTTGCCCCTTAAATCTTTAATATTGCCATTCACTACACACCTATAATTTTCATAAACAGTGATTTACAGGTTCAAGATAAGACAAGAAATACATAATTTTAGAACAACAAAACATTTTCGAAACAATAAACTCCCTCTTCCCAAAATAGCGGCTAACAGATAGCTTTTGGACTATTGAAACTCTTCGAGAAAATGTGTGTATGCTTGGGATTTGTCTGATTAAAACTGACTGAAAATGAACATAATAAGTTGTATAAGAAATGCAGCACAATGAAAACAGTCATCCGAAGATGACAAATTCCCCAGCCCCCATAAATTTGAAAACACAAATCATCTGAGAGTTACTTATTTAAAGCCCAACTTGAAGTTTTGGATTCATCGTTTCGTTGGATTCATCTGCTTGATATATCTGTCAAGTCTTGTAGAAAGATATTGAACGGTTTTGAGTTGTGATCCAGAAACGAAACACAACCCCTCACTTTTGAGACGAAGTCCGAAATGTTTCCATGGAAACCCAGAAAAATAAAAATGACAAAAATCTGTAAAAACAAAAGGCACTACTTTAGGTTGCCAAAAGCAGCCAGACCTACAGTTTCATATCCCACGATTATATTCAATATTTGGCAATGAAGATAAGGAAGACTCATCACTGCCTCCGGTTTAGAGTCCTACGCATCGAACTATGTAGAACGAGCACCAGATGTCACAAGTTAAGACGACCTTTCATGAGAGATGTCACAGCAGAAGTAGCAAAAACAACTATATCCTTCTGGATGAGATCGGTGATACTTCCAACATACAGAGATGTAGGCTGAGAACCTCCCTCAGTTTTCAACCCACACGAAGGAACAGTATGTTCCCTACTGGACGAGACAGTATGTTCCCTACTGGACGAGACAGTATGTTCCCTACTGGACGAGACAGTATGTTCCCTACTGGACGAGACAGTATGTTCCCTACTGGACGAGACAGTATGTTCCCTACTGGACGAGACAGTATCTTCCCAGCTACTGGACGAGACAGTATGTTCCCAGCTACTGGACGAGACAGTATGTTCCCTACTGGACGAGACAGTATGTTCCCTGCTACTGGACGAGACAGTATGTTCCCTACTGGACGAGACAGTATGTTCCCCTACTGGACGAGACAGTATGTTCCCAGCTACTGGACGAGACAGTATGTTCCCCTACTGAGACAGTATGTTCCCTACTGGACGAGACAGTATGTTCCCTACTGGACGAGACAGTATGTTCCCAGCTACTGGACGAGACAGTATGTTCCCAGCTACTGGACGAGACAGTATGTTCCCTACTGGACGAGACAGTATGTTCCCTACTTGACGAGACAGTATGTTCCCCTACTGGACGAGACAGTATGTTCCCAGCTACTGGACGAGTATGTTCCCCTACTGAGACAGTATGTTCCCCTACTGGACGAGACAGTATGTTCCCTACTGGACGAGACAGTATGTTCCCAGCTACTGGACGAGACAGTATGTTCCAAGCTACTGGACGAGACAGTATGTTCCCCTACTGGACGAGACAGTATGTTCCCAGCTACTGGACGAGACAGTATGTTCCCCTACTGGACGAGACAGTATGTTCCTACTGGACGAGACAGTATGTTCCCAGCTACTGGACGACACTACACCAAGCATCAAAAATCCTGTCAGGAGTTGATATCTTGCATGTACAAAGAGGTGTAACAACCGATACAAGTGCAAACAGTCCTCACGTACATGCACTGGTGCGAGAGCCAGTGTTCATAACATTGACACAGCTATGTTTTCAACATGTTTAACCAGTATTTTTGGGTCAGTTTTTTTAACAAGTCGTCCTAGTAGGGTATAGATGGCAGGCCCAAAGCTATAACAGTATCCAGAAAAGGCAAAATATTATTTATCTACTGCACATGCGCAAAATGAAATTATTTTGAGTGCCTCCATATCCCAAAAATGTTCACTATGCATCAGTCTATAAATGTGCAAGTATAATGCTTTTTGTAGCAGGGATAACTAACTAACTGGCATCATCAAACCTTGAAAAAGGCCCGAGCAAAGCAGCAGAAAGCTTACAATCTGAAAGCTCGTGGTGCAACAGTCAAGGTTGGTGATGTGGTGCTGGTTCGCGAAGTTGGCATCCGAGGTAAACAGAAGCTTGCCAATCGGTGGGAAGAAGATTTCTGTGTCGTGGAGGCACAACCGAATGTAGGCATTCCAGTTTTAAAGTCCGTAAGGAAGGGAGTGCTAAATGTCGTGTTCTCCACCGCAACATTCTTCTCCCAATTGGTACAGACGGAAAGCCAATTCCCAAGCCACGCAGTCCTTCGCCACGGTTAAATGTGTCCGACACCTCGGTTGAATTGTCTCAGTACCCTCTTGAGTTGTCCTCATCCGATCTGGATGTTGGAATTTTCGACACTTCAGAGGCTGACACTTCTGCAACTCAGCAGCCGGACACATCCCTGTTGCTTCAGGATCAGCGCAATAAGCCTTTGCCGTTGACACCACCTACACCAGCATTGAGAAGGAATCGCCCAGCTCACTCTAACTTGACTGAACCTGAATCGGGTCCCACTTTGGTGCGTCGGCCAACACGTCCACGTTTGAAACCGAAGAGTGGATGAGGGACGGTCAGTGGGAAGTCAAACAGAATGCTGTCTGGGTCTAACCAGTTTTTCCCCAAGTTATAAGTTACCATTATTTCTGCTATTCATGACCTAATCAGACAGATTTAGTATTAATGGCGAGGACGCCATTTCCCAAAGGGGTGGATGTAGCAGGGATAACTAACTTGATCTTTGTATATATCGTGGTATATTTTCTTTATTTAATTGTATGTTCATCTTTCATCAAGATTCCATTTGTTGCATCAACCATCTTTCATAACCTTTTCTGTTAAATGTCCATTTGTTATATGTTGTCCGTGTTTGCCGTTGAACGCCGCCTGTCTTAGTTGTCACCTTGTTATCTGTTTCCTGGAGGCTTGTGACAAGGATTTCCCTTCACCACTGTTCTAGTTTTTTATTAAGTACCCATCCTCTGGGCTTTCCCTATTCTATTTATGTCACATCAAAGGCTTCCTTTGATGTGTTATCTGTCCTCTAATTGGCTATTGTGTCCCTCTGTCTACTTCCTTTGGCATACCTGTCTTCCACCTCACCCAATTACTGTTGCTGAGGTGGAAAGATCTTTTCTTTCTTCAGGTATGGCCATTTTCTAATCCTTTTCCATCTGCCTCAATTTTATCTTAACTTCTATACAAAGGTGCTTAAATTAATTCAAACTGTAATTTAAACTATTAAGGGTAATATTTAATGTATAATTTTAATCTTTAAAGCAATTAATTAGTTATAACTTGTATACATTGTATTGACTATGTGCATGGACCATCTGCTCTCCATACATTTATAGATTTGTTTTGCAAAAGGTATATTTATTACCTTGGCTAACTGTGATACTTGTTTACAATGCATAATATTATATTTAATGTAAATTTAATATTGAGTGACTTATTTTAATGACTCCAATTGCTGTTGCTGAGGTTGAAACATCTTTTCTTTCTTCAGATACCTCAACAACAGCCTCATAATAAACTCATAACATCATCACCATTGTTTTGTCTTGTACTCAACGGCCCAGAGCCGAAATTCTCAGGCGACCTCGGCTACACTTTTATCATTAAGTACACAGTTTATCTGCTTAGCCGCTCTACTACTATACACAGAGGCCGTTTTCTCTAGACACAGAGTCCGTTTTCTCCCGCGCGGTGGCCGTTTGCTCCATTTTGTTAGGGCCCCTTTTCTCTGGGGTCCGTTTTCTCCATATCCCGGTGTAACTACCACTTAGTCGGAAACTTGTTTTGCAATTAAAATGTTTTACAAATTCAATTATTATTGAATGTTTCTTGATGTGTTCGTTTATATGATTGAACTGGCATTGTAAGTAAAAAGGTATTTTAAAACGCATATACTGAGATTCGAACTTCAAATTGTTCTTTCGATCTGATGTTCACGTTTTCTATCGCTGGCAAATAGAGTTACTTCCCCTGGAGAAAGCCGGAAGTACAAAATCATGGCGAACTTGGCAAGGAAGTGGATTGTACTTTCTGTTGAGTTAATCTTCGTTTCGTTCCTATTACTGAGTTACACAGGTAAATAGTTCATTTATTAAAATGACCGATCCTTAAGAAGTACACTCGTAAAATGTGGCTTCCTTTACTCCAGACAACTTTCAACAGCGTAGTTTGTTTAATTGATCGGACAAGCTGAAGTATCCATGACTCACTGGAAGGGGCAGAGACGAATAGTTCATTGAATATGTGTACAGATGTAAATCGGGATACACAACAAATAATATTCAAAATGTGGAGACGCACACAACTAAACTAACCTCGCACCCACGCGAAGACAATAGTCCAAATCGTTGGCTATTGTCAAGTCACGCGACTGGTGACTAGATGCCCTGTCATGCCTATCATTATCAAACACTCTTTCACGATCCTTTAGCATGTTTAGGCTGTTCAAACATCCCATTTCAATTCTTGTCCGTCAGATACGCATCTTATCTTGAGCCCTGAATCAGGTGCTGATCACTAGATAATTAAGAAATAGGTCTTTGTGAAAGCACCCATTGTCTCTTGATAAAGGGTTGGCTTATTGGATTAACTCTCAAGCCTGGGTTAGCTTGAAGGGTAGTCTGAGTTCAGTCCTCTGTCCAGTTCTAAATGAAACCCGCAAACTACACCTACAGGGGAACAGCGCCTCAGTTATCATGGTTATCTAGCCAGTGTTGTCTTGTTTACCCAGTATAATCACCACGTGCCAGTTAGCAACTGGCTTAGCTAGAGATGCACTCCATGACAGAGATGGAGAATCACCCTTGAATCTTTGTTTCATAATATATTTTTTCAATTCACAATTCCACAGGACCCATAGAATAAAAATAAAAACACACACATTTCATATTTAACATTTGTTGTAATTGGCATTGAAATTATTAACAAACATAAGATTTATAAACAGCAAACAAGTGTCACATGTCACATATAACAACTTCAGTCAAAGTCATTGTGAAATATACAGTCCAACACTGGGGCCGGCAGGTTGTAGACTTCGGTAGGCTTCTAACGGACCGTTGGCAAACATGTGTATATAGTTTGCAAGAATGAAGTTTATTTCATATACTCAAACCAGGGACGAACCTTTTCATTCATTGATTCAATTTTCAAATAATACACCAACTGCAACTCTCTTCTTCTCATCAATGGTTCATGGTAAAAACCTTGCACTGTGTAATTGTCCTCATTCACTTCATTAACAGTGCTACAGATAACCTTTTGGGTCATTGAGTTATGTACTCAATTGGGTAGCCTAAATTTCCTTTGAGTAACAAAATAAATTGTACTCACCTCACTCAAACTCAGTTGGGTATTTTGCCATTTTCCATTAATTTTGAAAATATAATAAAGTTTAAATGTTAATGTTTGTTATTTATATTTGATCTTTAATATGAGAAACGATAAGAAAGACTGCAAGTTGTCATATTCATGTCCTGAAATAGAACCTCTCAATATACTGATATTCCTCATTTATTTTATCTATCCACTGGTACGCGAGGGTAAGATTTGACATTTTTGTGTGTAATGCATGTGAGATCACATTTATTGAGTACTTACAAAAATCAAGCGCACTTGTAATGCATAGGCTTAATAGGAATTTAGTTTTCACATAAATATTTATGTAATTTCACGCAGATACGCAGCTTATCTGTAACGCCTGATTAATGTTCACCTCTGCCTCAGAGGTTGTCGTGGATACACAGCAATCAGTGGATCAGGGGTTGAAAAATACCATCGTAATGTTTTGATCAATGTATTTTGATGGTGAAATAAAATGCAATTGTCTGTTTGTAATTGATGAAGATTATTTGTAAAAGAAACCACATTGTTTATTATTGTCAAGTGAATTTAATATTTGGTCAAGTGTATTTTGAAAGTTTACCGACCTGAGTCCAGTGGAGTTTTGAAAAAAAAATTCAATCCCTGGTGGAAATATTTTTTTGTCAAGGGCTAATTATTCAATCTAAGATTGGGTAATAAGTCCACACCTGATGTGGTGAATAAATTATTGATCATTCATAGGATTCATGCTGATTGATTAAAACATATCCTTAAGCCGATAATATGTTGACTGATTGCTTATTACTACTGAATGCCTCGTGGTGGTAAGAGAAGCATCAGTTGGTATATTTTGCTGCAGTCTTTCTTAATAATGATATCCAGGTATAGGTGTACATTTAGGTTAGACTTTTCAAGGATTGCTGATTCTTGTCTCTTGAGCATGTTGAGATAACATTTTAACAGCTGTGGCACCAACACCATGGTTCATTTGTTATGGGGAAAATCCAGCATCATGGGAGAGAAGCGATCACAGCACCTTGTCTCTTCCAGTGGAATACTCTATTGTCTGAGAGGTCACTGAACCTAAGCTAATGATAAAACGCACCTCGTAAATTTATGGATGACAACTTCTTCTTTATTGTAAGTCACAACGTTTCTGGGCTTTTCCTTGCCCTTCACAGGTAAATTGTAACAAGCAAGATACATCAATGAGTCTGTATACTGAATGTACAAGAAGCCAGTGTTGCATGTATATACAATAAACTGGATAAGAAACGGAGATGAAAGAGTGAGATGTACAGATAATGGGCAGAGTTTATACAATAATGTAATAAGCTAATTGACTTCCCGTGCCTGGGGAGGTACACTCCTTGATCCCTGTTCAGCTCGCGGCTAATTGTCTTATCATTAAAGACTCTAATAGTTTGGCGCTTTAAATTAATCGAAAATTATTATAAAAAGATTTTTAAATAATATGTATGGCGATCATGGACATTAGTGGTTGATATGTTGATTGTTGCCAGTCAATGGAGTGAGTAGGGTTTTAGAAGATGTGCTCTGAGAGAGCTAATTTTGTCAGAAACGTTGTGACATACAATAAAGAAGAAGTTGTCATCCATAAAATTTGCGTTTTTGATTTAAACATATTTTTATTCATGATGATGAATTGGGATTGGTGAACAAGCATTACTGCTTATATTAACACCGCCTCCCATGCAAACATATAATACAACATGAAAAATGGAGGATTTGACGTCAACGATACTGACCATTGCATAAATATACTATTTTTAGAATGTATTTATAAATATACTGAAACAATAAAAGAAGAAGTTGTCATCCATAAAAGAAACGCAAGTTGATTTAGAAATGTCAATATTTCTGAATCTGTGGAACAAACAATCTTAACACTACGAAAAAACAACAGACAAGTGATTGGTGAAGAAATGAGTCGTGATCTCTGGTGAAAACAACACTCAAGTTGATTGTAAACGCATATGTTATCACTCCACCCTCACACACCAAAAATGTCACGAAAAAGTGTGTCAATCAGGGGCGCGTGTGACCACCATTGGCTGCAATGCAGGCAGCACAACGACATCTCATCGAGTAAACAAGTGTCTGAAAGAAGGGTTGGGGAATTTGATTCCATTCCCTGACCAATCTGGCTTCCAAAGCTCTAAGGTTTTGAGGTTGAGCAGCTGTCTGTATCCGGCTCACCAATTTCATCCCACACATGCTCGATTGGTGCCATATCCGGGGACAGAGAGGGCCAGGGCAGTACAGCAATGTTGTTCCCTCTGAGGAAGTCCATAGAGACCCGTGCAGTTTGAGGACGAGCATTGTCCTGCTGGAACGCCTGGAGCTGAGGTTGGGCCTGGAATAGCGGTACAACGTGGTGTTGAAGGACCTGGTCTCTGTAGACTACAGCAATCACAATTTGATCTAAACACGCGTGTAAGCGTGTTCTGTGGTGATAGCTGAAGCCACCCCATACCATGAGACTTCCACCTCCCCAGCGGTCAGCTTCCACAACACAACAGTTGGCGAACTCTTTCATTACGCCGTCTCCATACACGTAATCGCCATCGGCGTGGGACAAGTTGAATCTGGACTCATCAGAAAACAACACTTGTTGCCATTGTTGACGCCGCCAACGCTGGTGTTGTCGCCCACTGTAAACGATTTAGGTGGTGACGCTAAGCGCCAGAATCGGTCCGACGAAGGACGGCGACACCTGATCCCTGCTGCCCTCAGACGAATCTAACTTTAACAGTGTCTGCAGAGATGTGGACGCTGTGGCCCTTGAATGGTTGCAGCTGTCTGTGTTGCTCGTTGCTGTCGGTTACGCCAGATGAGTCACCCGGATGTGACGATCTTGCGCTGGGGTTGTTACCCTGGGACGCCCTGAACGTGGTCGGTCTCGAACAGTACCGGTTTGACGATACCTTACGGATAGTCTTGTGATTGTTGTCACGCGTGACATCTGAAGTGCCTGGCCACTGCAGTTGGTGTGGATCCGTCTGCAACATTCCAACGGCGATTCCTCGTTGCTGTTCAGTTAGACGCGGGCATGTATTCTCAGCGTTGTCACAGTCAATTTTGTGTTCTATGGTGTTTTTGAATGACCTGCCCTATAAAGCTTCAAATTGAGTGAATGCACGCAATTTTGTGTGAAACACAAAAACGCCATGCAAAAACACTAAAAACATGAAAATGATTGCGTTTGGGCGATATGGTCAAGAATAAGCGGCAACAACGGCAAAACCATCTTCGAATGCTTGGTTCTATAATGGTATACTTTGTTGTCCTAAAAGGAATGCATTCGAACGTATGTTTTGAAAAATAGTAACTGCGTTTCTTTTGCGGTTCAGTATATATACGGATTACATGAAATACAACTATTCTCTAAGTAGTCATGAGTTAGAGAGTTACAGTTGTGTGTGTCTCACAAGCCATTGTAGAACTATAAATCAATCATGAGAAGGTTGTTGAGTAAATTTAATTATTTTCCTGAGAAAAATTAAAGCGCTTGGTCTTGGTTATATAATCGTGGACGGATTCAACTATTTTCTGGTTTACACGGGGAGTAAGTTCTTTGTTTCCCTTAAGAATGGTATCCAGGTTATAACCGGTAGTGTAAAAAATACATATTAAGTCTTATCCCGGTATAGTTACGCAAGTGAGGAAATAGTGTAGGCGTTTTCACTCTGATGTCCACAAGAAGAACAAAGGGCTGTCTATTAAATGTCTTATACTTATCGGCACTAAATTTGCGTTTTACTTGAACACCAACTTCTAAATGCCTCTGAAGAAGCTAAGCTAATGAGTTAGTAAACCAACACTTTGCTGGATCAGCACTGAAGCTATTGTACATAATTGGTGGCCTCCTTCCTTCTGATTACCATCACTGGTAACACACATGCACAATTCTTTAAGTTTCTTATCCTCCTCCACTGAAAACCAGCTTGACTTATTCCTTGCATTTTTGTTTCAGATGCAAAGAGAACAAAAGAGAAGATTTATATTGACCTTCAGACTCAAAATGCTTGTTTCCGGTCTCTGAACGCCACCCACCAGATAGGATGTACATGTATGTATGGGATTACAGGGTGTGTAGGGACTGAGAGGATGTACATGTATGTATGGGATCACAGGGTGTGTAGGACTGCTAGGATGTACATGTATGTATGGGATCACAGGGTGTGTAGGACTGCTAGGATGTACATGTATGTATGGGATCACAGGGGTGTGTAGGGCTGCTAGGATGTACATGTATGCTAGGATGTACATGTATGTATCACACAGGGTGTGTAGGACTGCTAGGATGTACATGTATGTATGGGATCACAGGGTGTGTAGGACTGCTAGGATGTACATGTATGTATGGGATCACAGGGGTGTGTAGGGCTGCTAGGATGTACATGTATGTATGGGATCACAGGGTGTGTAGGGACTGCTAGGATGTACATGTATGTAGGGATGTACATGTATGTATGGGATCACAGGGTGTGTAGGGCTGCTAGGATGTACATGTATGTATGGGATCACAGGGTGTGTAGGGCTGCTAGGATGTACATGTATGTATGGGATCACAGGGTGTGTACTGCTAGGATGTATGTATGTATGGGATCAAAGGATGTGCAGGGCTGCTAGGATGGATCACATGTATGTATGGGATCACAGGGTGTGTATGGGACTGCTAGGATGTACATGTATGTATGGGATCACAGGTGTGTAGGGCTGCTAGGATGTACATGTATGTATGGGATCACAGGGTGTGTAGGACTGCTAGGATGTACATGTATGTATGGGATCACAGGGTGTGTAGGACTGCTAGGATGTACATGTATGTATGGGATCAGCTGCAGGATGGTGTGTCACAGGGTGTGTAGGACTGCTAGGATGTACATGTATGTATGGGATCACTGGGTGTGTGTAGAGCTGCTAGGATGTACATGTATGTATGGGATCACAGGGTGTGTAGGACTGCTAGGATGTACATGTATGTATGGGATCACAGGGTGTGTAGGACTGCTAGGATGTACATGTATGTATGGGATCACAGGGTGTGTATGGGACTGCTAGGATGTACATTAGGGGAGTAGGAATGTACATTAGGAGTGAAACGGTATGAGTCTTACCCCAGTATGGTATGTAGTATGGTACAAAGCCTTTGCTTCATTCTATTTAGGTTGGGTATATGAGATATGATCATAAAAGGGCAGAAAGAAATGCATAGATTTTGACAAATTGATTTGATTTCTAGACATTTTGGATGAGGTTTAAAAAAGGTTGATAAAATGACGGTACAAAAACTGAAAATACCGCATTTTTGGATTGTATTACGGTATGTCGAAACAAATGTCAAATACTGCGGTTCTACTTATTCCGTGGAATACCGCTTTCACCCCTAATGAACATGTATGTATGAGGATCACAGGCTCTGTAGGGTCTTTATGAATATGTTTTTAATTACAATTTCTAACCATTATAGTTTCATGTGTTTCTATCAGTTAGATTCATCCACAGACATCTTGTATCGGGATGTGTTGTGGATGATGGCGGGAAACAAGGTGCAGAACAAGGTACTGTGACCATGTGTCCCAGTCCACCCAGCTGTCAATGGGTACCTCGTTAGGATGAGAAAGCCCCCATAACTCAGTGTCTAGTGGCAGCAAAGAGTTGTATACTCCCAGGGAGTTGAGATTGCTAAACGATGTGCAGTTGATATTGACATCCAATGATGAGGGAAAAATACCAGCGCCTTGAGCATGCACTAGTGCATGGATATGTGCTGTGTAAATATCCTATAATAATAATAATAATAATAATAATAATAATAATATTCCAGAAACATTTCTGGCTACTTCCGCTCTTAATGTGATTACCACTATATTTCTTCTTTCTGAAAGCAGTTTGATCATTATTCCATATTTGTGTTTTGTTTGACATTTGCCCCCTCGGGTCCATATTGAACCCTCGGGTCCATATTGAACAGTAAACTATTCCTGTATCTCTCTCTTACCATCTATTGCCACCATCATGGACATTACTAGACCTTGTGTGACCATGGTAACCCTGTGTGTTCCTGTATCTCTCCTACCATCTATTGTCACCATCATGGACATTACTAGACCCTTGTGTGACTACCCTGTGACTGTATCTCTAACCATGGTAACATCTCTGCTGTATGTTCCTGTATCTCTACCTCCTCACCATCCTTTGTCACCATCATGGACATTATTAGACCTTGTGTGATACTACTACCCTCTGTGTTCCTGTATCTCTCCTACCATCTATTGTCACCATCATGGACATTACTACCCTGTGTGTTCCTGACCTATTGTGTGACTACTAGACCTTGTGTATTCCTGTATCTCTCCTACCATCTATTGCCACCATCATGGACATTACTAGACCTTGTGTGACTACCCTTGTGTGACTACCCTGTGTATTCCTGTATCTCTCCTACCATCTATTGTCACCCATCATGGACATTACTAGACCTCATGACATTACTGACCTTGTGTGACTACCCTGGACTGTGTGTAACCATGGTAACATCTCTGTGTGTTCCTGTTTTCTCCTACCATCTATTGTCACCATCATGGACATTACTAGACCTTGTGTGACTACCCTGTGTGTTCCTGTATCTCTCCTACCATCTATTGCCACTATCATGGACATTACTAGACCTTGTGTGATGACCCCTGTGTGTTCCTGTATCTCCTACCATCTATTGTCACCATCATGGACATTACTAGACCTTGTGTGTGTGACCCTCTGTGTGTTCCTGTATCTCTCCTACCATCTATTGCCACCATCATGGACATTACTAGACCTTGTGTGATCCTACCCTGTGTGTTCCTGTATCTTTCCTACCATCTATTGCCACCATCATGGACATTACTAGACCTTGTGTGACTACCCTGTGTGTTCCTGTATCTCTCCTACCATCTATTGTCACCATCATGGACATTACTAGACCTTGTGTGACTACCCTGAACTGTGTGTAACCATGGTAACATCTCTTCGTGTTCCTGTTCCTGTATTTCTCCTACCATCTATTGTCACCATCATGGACATTACTAGACCTTATTGTGTGACTACCCTGAACTACTGTGTAACCATGGTAACATCTCTTCGTGTTCCTGTAATTCTCCTACCATCTATTGTCACCATCATGGACATTACTAGACCTTGTGTGACTATCCTGGACTGTGTGTAACCATGGTTACATCTGTGTGTTCGGTGTAGTGGTAAGAGCGTCTGCCGGAGAGCTGAAGGTCACGGGTTCGATCCCGGCTGCATCATACCAAAAGGCGTTAAAATATGGTACTTGTTGGTCCCTGCCTGGCTCGGCATTAATGGGGTACATCAAGGACTGGTCGGCTCGGAGTCAGTATAATGTGTCTGAGTAGGGTATTCATGCCCGGCTGCGGCATGGTATCTCACTCTCAGTGGTCTAGCACTATAAAACCAGCTTAAGCCTGGGCTGAGTACAAGCAGCCGCACGCATTACACCTACACCGCATGCACGTCGTCATATGAGCCGAAATATTCTGAAGTCGCGACGTGAAACCAATTTCACCTCACCTCACCTCTCTGTGTGTTCCAGCATCCTCCGAGGGCAACGTGGGTGTCCTCCACTACCTGGAGACACAGGGCGACTACAACTGGATACTGAAGGATGGCCCTAACCCTCCTATGTTGTCTTGATGAACTCACTTGAGTTTAACAGGTAGACAACATTCGACTGGATGGTGTTTAGTATTTTGTAACTCTGCTCTCAGCAATATTCCAGCTATGTGGCAGTGGTCTGTTAATAATCAGACCAGACTGTCCAGTGAGTGACACAATGAGCATCGATCTACGCAGATGGGATATGATGACAGCAACCAGGTCAGCGTTCCACCTGATTATAGATACTTGTAGGTGCCTCTTATGGCATGCATGAGCTCTAACTTGGATCTTCAGAGCATATTATGGTGCAGGGAGTTTTGCTTCTCCAGAAATAAATGGCTCAGAGATTTAAGTGTCCTGTGGTAGTATACATTGTACATATATACAATAACCACTCACACTTAAGTCAGCTGAAGTGATAATATCTCTTGCACCACTTGCAATTGGTGAGATGTTGCACCATGTTTAGATGGTGAGATGTTGCACCATGTTTAGATGGTGATATGTTGCACCATGTTTAGAAGGTGAGATGTTGCACCATGTTTAGAAGGTGAGATGTTGCACCATGTTTAGAAGGTGAGATGTTGCACCATGTTTAGGTGAGGTGTTACGTTGCAGCTCTAACCTGGACCTGCTGGTGGCCTCACAGCGAAAGTGAGCGGGATACTGGTCATCAACGTGCTAGAGAACCAGACCTTGACCCCGTTCCCGGGTCAGTTCTCCGCCGACAAGTCATGTCCAAACGATGCATACGGTGAGTAACTGATGGTGGGGACGTCATACTGCTTCTCTGGAAATAATGGTGACAGATGATTTCCTCAAAGTCATTGATATGTTTGAACCATGGTGTACTTGCTTAACAACAAAATCTATATTGAAATGTTACCTTTCACAGAATACAAAAGTTGTATATCCATAAAAATATCATCATTCTTCATCACCTCAACTTCTAAAATGCCCATCAAAGAAGAGTCAAATACTGCTCAGATTTGCAGCACCTCAGTAAGGTAGATTTTGTTAGAGACAAACATCATATGGGCAATCCTGGAGATAATTTATCCATGTTTATGTGACCTATTTTCATGTTCTTCTATATCTTCCGCATCTCTGAAAGAAATTTTTGAGGACACTTGAATAATCTGTTCAAGAATCTGTACCAATCCCCTATACTTCCCTGATATACCTCCCTGAAACATGTGTAGTGGTGACAGATCTACCTCCCTAAAACGTGTGTAGTGGTGACAGATCTACCTCCCTGAAACGTGTGTAGTGGTGACAGATCTACCTCCCTGAAACATGTGTAGTGGTGACAGATCTACCTCCCTGAAACATGTAGTGGTGACAGATCTACCTCCCTGAAACATGTGTAGTGGTGACAGATCTACCTCCCTAAAAAGCGTGTGTAGT